GGTCCGTATTCGGGGTTTTCCTTACCTATTTCCGTTTTTCTTCCTCCTATGCTACACTTGTTTGTGTATCTGGGTCGGTGCTTCTTGACTATCCTGATGTTGAATGCTCGGGTGGGCCTCTGTCCATGTTCAGCTCCCTGCTTTTGGACTTCTCCGTGTTCCGTTTTGGTACTGAGTTCCTACGATTTTCTTTGTGACTTACTGCAGGCTTCGGTGTTGTGCTGTCTGTGAGGGATTGCGGACTTTCGGTCCGCCACTCCTGCCTTACTGATTCCTTTTCTTGGAACCAGTAGCTGGGTTCCGGTCCTGGCTCCAGTTTTTTCTTTGTTCCTTTTCCAGAAAGGGTGTGTTTGCTTTCCTGCGGTTCACGTCCTGCGTAGTTCTCCTCTTGGATGCCTCAGGGACGCGTGCGTCATTCTTCCCTGCTGGAGCTTATTATGTTGCTCCTTTGGGTTGCAGGGTCGCTGTTTTTCGATTCGCGTTTTGCGCTTTCGTTCGTGGTGCTAGTTTCTAGTCATTTGTGCCGCCACTGGTAGGTTCGTTATTGGTCTCCCACCTCCGTATTTCATCTCGAGGTTTTCCTGGCGGTCCTTCCAGTTTTCCTATCACTGCGAAGGGTCCTTCGGTCTCTGATACGGTTGGCTTGTCTTCCCTTCAAGGTTGTTCCAGGACCGTTGTCAGGAACTGTGACGTGATGACGTCATGCTAGTTTAATAATTTTGTTTGGGGAGTTCTGTCCACTCGTTTGGCTTTCAGTAGCAATATTTTCACCAGAATAGGGGTTTGTTTTGGGGCGCCTACCTTTCTGGGTGCCTATCCGGTCGATGGCAGACATAGAATGCTCCCAACCACAAGGGGGTTTTCTATAGGCCATTGCTCCTCGTGCCTCTCTGAGGGGGCCAGGTTCTGGCTCGTGGTTCCCGGTAGGCAAGAACTCCTAGCACTTTGACTGATGCCAGAAAGTTATACATATCTATTCAGCCTGGCTAGCTCCGGGGAGCCGACAGGGCTCCCCCCAGAAACAAAGAAGCACAAAAACAATGAAAGTCTTGATAAGCGCGATCGTCACTAAGCGGACGGCTCTGGTAAACTGAGGCCGGGTCGGCCCGTGCCACAGGAACCACGCGCTCAGTCGACCCAAACACGTATCAACGAAGTCACTAGTCGAGGCAAAAGTTGCAAGTCTAGCTGCATTTTCCAACGAAATTTACGTCGTAACTCAAAAAATTCGTAAGTAGGGGCAGTCGTGCCACTGTACTTGTATGTATTAAAGTAATACCGGTAATGGTAGGAGTCTTTAGTCCATGGCCATTAAAAGTACTGAATGTAATGAAATGCCTCTTTTTAGATGAGACTTGGTGGCTGTCTGAAGTTATCTTATTGAGATGGCTCTCAACTAGAAGTTCACCTCAGCCATGGAGTTCTCTTTGGCCTACCCAGGACCTGAGCCACAAGCTGGTTCCTTTTACAGAGACACATCCAGAAAGTCAACAAAACATTACAGACCACTGCAGGGTTCAAAGAACTGAAGCCTCAAAAACTGTTAAAAGGCTGAATTTCTTGAAACTAGGTAGAACTCATTAGTACCAAACCTCTGCCACTGGCTCTTTGGAGGCCCTCTTTCCCCCTCCCAAGTAAGTTCTAGGGCAGATGTGATAACCACAACCACCAATCAACAATACTGATAGGGAAGAAGGGTTTCAGGAAGCCACTGGGGCTCATGCAGAAAGAGGCATTTCATTACATTCAATGCAGGTTTTCTAGGGGAGCCCCTTATGTCTCCCTGAAGCTAACCACTGAGTTGCATCCAAATGGACACAAATTCACCAACACTGAAGATTGGTAAAGCAAAACTAAAAAGCATCAGCTGCCTGAAAAGCTTCCACTTCAGAAGCAGGGTTGGAAAGATGAGTCATATGGAGAAAATAAATGTTGCAGGACTCAGGGTCATAGGTGTCACCAACTGAACAGGCAGCATGGCAGAGGAAGAAAATTATTGTTGGCATGTGGCACAGCCAATGAACACTCCTCAAACTAACAAATAGCAAGAGCAGGTTTGGCATGAGAAGCCATTGGGAACCATGCTAAAAACACTGCAGGGGTATTACCAGGGCTTGAGTAATTACCAAACAGGACACCCAGACACTGGGATGCTTGCTGAAGGAACAGTCTTCAAACACAGCCCCACTAACACGGATGTATAGGCAGAACACAGCATGTATAAAACAAGTATGCGAACTCCAGCACACCCAAACCAAGTGAAATGTTCGCCCCAACCATGGATCTAAACAGAAGGACCAAAAGACCTCTGAACCACCAGAGGTAATTCACTCCACCTAGGTGACCAGGTCTTGAGACTAGAAAATGCCTGAACACACCAGAGAAGTGACTGTCAGTGGTGGAAAAACACATTCATGGAACAAATACTAAAATTGGAACTATACACAAATAAATGGCCCACCACAGGATGAAGTCCGAGAATGGTCGGCACTTAGCTCATAAGTAGCTGGACCCATGAGACTAATTGGCAATCCACGAACACTACAGTAGACAACCGCAGGTAAACACACCACCAACAAAACTGGTTTGAAAGGGTAGGGGGAGGGTTGGAGCTCTGCCTCCTCCCCCCCTCCAATGGTGATGGTTTGATACTAACGAGTTTCAGCTAGTTTCGAGAGATTCAATCATTTGAGTTCATTTGACAGTTTGATGTTTTGGCTGTTTTTCAACACAACAGTTGTCTGTAATGCTTCATTGACTTGTGTACGCTTCCCAGTGAGGTGATGGAATGTCACTCACTCTATGACTCCATGTGCCTCTAGGTTGTGGCTCTGGTTCCCAGTAGGCGAATCACAACTCTGTGACTGATGTGAGTTAGTAGCTGGGGGCAATCTCAGTGAGGTAATGTCAGGGAATCATAAGGGGCTTCCCTATCAAATGTTTTTGTGTTACAAGTGGGGATCCGGAATCCGGGTCTCGCAGGAGATATGCAGCAATAGCCTACCGAACCTCCTGCTGAGAGATACAATTGAAAGAAATCCTCCGGAAGGATGGGGCTGAGGAACCCAAGGGAGCCCCGGAACCGAACCCGGGGAGGAGCCGAACTTATCATACTTAATCAGGGATGGGGTTGATAAGAAAACCCCTCCCCCTGCAGCAACAAGCCCTGCAAAGAGGGCACTAACACCCAAGCGGGGTCAAAGGGGGCCCAAGGCCCCCAGGTCGACTCCTTCCCAGCCCCTGGATCCCCCAAATCGGGACCCGGGGCAGAGCAGTCCTTCATACCCTCCAACCCTTAGGAAAGGCAGAGTACAGGAGAAATGCTGAAAAGAAGGGGGCCTGCTGGTGGGACCCAGAAGCCTCGGCAGGAGGAACTGGCCCGAATGCTTCCGTCCCCAACCCAAATGGGGACGGAAGCACTACCAACTAAAGTCTCATTACCAACTAAACCCTCCTCTGACTCCAAAACCCTCAGACGTTTGGGAGCTGGAAGCAGGGGAAAGGTGCAGGATGAACAACAGGGGAAGGACCAGGGAGCTTGGACTGAACCAAAGTCAAAACGATGGACGCCCACAGGTCTGGGTGTTTATAACCAAAGCGGGGCAGCTGCGGGGCATCCGGGTGGGATACCAACCTAGCGCATTGCAGCAGTCTAAATCTAGCATGCCATGTGGATGCTGCCTGTACCTTAACAGTAATGTCATCAGAATAGTACTGGAGAACAAGCAGAGAACACGACTGGCAAGACTCCGGGTCAAAGGTGTCGTTGCCCCAACATGCAGCATGATGGAGGCAAAAAGAGGTGACTGTTACCCTAAGACAAGGGCACACAGCAACCTTTGAACCCGCACAAGGTGGGCTGGAACTCGGAAGACGCATCCATCAGTCCACCGAGCCCCAACAGGGTTTTCCAGGGCCCGTAGACTGACTGCTACGGTAAGCCTGGGCAAGGTGTTGCTAACCAGTTAAGACTCAAAACTAACAATGGGGAGATCAAAACACTGATACCCCTGTGACGTATACAATGACAGGGGGTCTACCAGAGGGCCACCAAAATATTACAAGTGGAACGATAGCCACACCAGGCAGACCCCCACCAAGCAAGAAAAATAAAAACAATAGAAAAACCCGCAAAAGTACAACGTCCCCAGAGGAAACAGGAACCGGCCGCTGCATTGCTAGGCAGGCAGCACAACACCTTGACGCCCCAACCAGCACGATACCACTCCGTACCCACGGGCAAACAAGGGCCACGAAACCCCAGCTGGGCCCAAGGGTGTGGTAAATGCAGAGCAGCATGAACCCCTATGGAAATGGTTATCCTGAATGTACCAGGGAAGGGAACTCTATTACACAAAGACAGTACTCACAGCGTGCTTAGGGAAGGAAGCCCCTAAGTGCATGTAGCCCCGGCACTGATGAGGAACACCTGGCCACCACACACAACAACATTGCAGAGGTCGCAACGAAGGCAAAACACCGCCTTGGAAATTGAGGCCAGAGAAGACGTCTGCCCCGGATCACATTAGCTAATGAAATGGAGTGCTGGGTAGCCGGCGTGGGGAGGAGAAGGCTGCACAGATGAGCGGCGCGGCAGTGGAGTGTGATGTTTTCTTGTTTCCCTGGGCTTGGAGGGAGTTCTACCTCTCTTTTTGGTTTTCAGTGGCACTTTTCTTACCATGTGTGGTTTGTTTTGTTATGCCTACCTTTCTGGGTGCCTAGCCCTGGTCGATGGCAAGTAATGAAAACCCCCAACCACAGGGGGACTTTCCAGGGCCATTGCTCTCTGCAACCTCTCTGATGGGGCCAGGTTCTGGCTCGTGGTCCCTGGTAGGTCAAACTCCTTAGACTAATGCCCCAGCCTAATATATCACACTCAGCCCGATTGCTCCAGGAAGCCGAAGGGGCTACCCACAGAAAGATGCCCGATATATATTATGGTGATAATTTCAGACGTTTACTCTTATGCCATGGACACCAAGACAGTTTGCTCAACTTACTTGAAGCAGTAGAGTGTATCCGAGGTGATGTGTGGCAGACTGAGGAGAGAGCTGTCAATGTGCCACCGAGCCTGTGTGATCATCTGCATTAACACCTGTACCTGCAGGGATGCTGCTAGCCATCCTGCACATCCACACAAGTCCAACATAGCCTAGAAATATTAGTCAAGATATGAGAGTGCACAACACACTAAAACACTAGCAATCTGCAGAGCACTGAAATTGTGACTGATGAATAATCTATAATTTTAAAATATATAAAAGCCAACACTCAGTCTGCTTAGTTATATAACAGTAGCCCATTATGTATATCCAATACTCTTTATAAAACACTGGCATCCAGTCTAGCGTTAGTCTGCATGCTACGGTTCTTCACTGTCAAGTAATTGACACCAACTCAGATTCTACACAGCAAAATTTGATTCTACATAAACAAGAATTCTAGATTCTTTAAACAAACAAAATTAAATATCAATAGTAAGTAGACCATGCAGGAATTCATGTGCATGATGGAAGGAATGGTACTTTGGTAGCCATTTTAGCTTTGGGATGGTCTACTTTTATTTGACCTTTAATTTGTTCTCAAATTCATTTAATAAAAACTTCAAGACAACACAGCTATTTGTGTGTTGACTTGTTTCACAGTACTATACTTTACATCCTATTATCATCTTGTGTACTTTACCTTGAGGTTACCTTGAGGTGATTTTGAGGCTTAGCGACCCCGCGGCCCGATCGTCGATCAGGCCTCCTCGTTGCTGGACAGGTCAACAAGGCTGTTGGATGCGGCTGCTCGCAGACTGATGTATGAGTCACAGCCTGGTTGATCAGGTATTCTTTGGAGGTGTTTGTCAAGTTCTCTCTTGAACATTGTGAGGGGTCGGCCAGTTATGCCCCTTATGTGTAATGGAAGCGTGTTGAACAATCTCGGGCCTCTGATGTTGATAGAGTTCTCTCTCAGAGTACCTGTTGCACCTCTGCTTTTCAATGTGGTTATTCTGCACATCCTGCCATGCCTTCTGGTCTCATGTGGTGTTATTTGTGTATGCAGGTTTGGGACCAGCCCCTCTAATATTTTCCATGTGTAAATTATTATGTAACTCTCCTGCCTGCGCTCAAGAGAATACAGATTTAGGCTCTACAGTCGGTCCCAATAGTTTAGATGATTTACTAAGTGGATTCTAGCAGTAAAGTACCTCTCCAGGTCAGTAATTTCTCCAGCTTTGAAAGGGGCTGTCACTGTGCAGCAGTATTTCACTCTAGAGAGCACTAGTGTCTTGAAAAGTATTATCATTGGTATAGCATCCCTATTGTGAAAGGGTCTTGTTATCCATCCTGTCATTTTTCTTGCAGTTGTGTTGGCTACTTTATTGTGTTCTGTAAAGGTAAGGTCTTCCGACAGGAGTACACCCAAATCATTTACATTGCCTTTTTGTTCTATGTTATGATTTGACTGCGTTTTGTACGCGGTTTTCGTTTATATACAGTATCCACTCAATTTAATGGCCTCTTTTATACCTATCTGCCGGTAATAACGACCGGTTTGGGAGATCGGTATCTGGAGCCTTGTATACCGGTCTGGCGGTAGATATTACCGACGGTCGGTATTGGGTTTGTTTTGGCATCAGCAGCCCCTCACATGGCGACCAGGCCACTGACCTCGATCATCCAGAGTGGTATATTAAATCTTAACTTTCTTTTAAAATGATTCAGTTTTATGAAGAAAATTCTAAATTATTATTAATAAAATATTTTAAAACATTTGTTATTAAGCAAAATTCTTTGTTTTCTTATTAAATACTTTTTATAGGATAGGCAATAGGTATTTTTTTCCCACGGACCTAGAATGTACTGTGCCTGGCCATGTGACCGCATTGTTTACTGTTAACTCGCGCGGCTGAGAGCAATGTCTCAATATTAGCCAGAGAAAATCAGATTCAGACAAAAATAGATAAATTCATGATTTCAATGGTTCATGAAAGCACCCCTGGGAATGCAACAAGTCATGCAGCCTCCGCTGGCAACGAGTGCCCAACAAGCCATGCTGCACCCGCCGATGCTGAATTCCCATCAACAAGTCATGCAGCCTCCGCTGGCAACGAGTGCCCAACAAGCCATGCTGCACCCGCCGATGCTGAATTCCCATCAACAAGTCGTGCAGCCTCCGCCGGCAACGAATGCTCTGCAAAATATGCTGCACCCGCCGATGCTGAATTTCCATCAACAAGTCGTGCAGCCTCCGCCGGCAACGAATGCTCTGCAAGATATACTGCACCTGCCGATGCTGAATTCCCATCAACAAGTCATGGAGCATCCGCCAGCAACGAATGCTCTACAAGCCATGTTGCACCCACTGATGCTGAATTCCCACCAACAAGTCATGACAAGTCATCCAATAACAATATAAAATATGATTGAAAGGCATATAAATTAGTGTAAAAAGTGTTGATAGAGTACAGTACTGTAAGTGTTAATGATTATTTAAGCCTTGACAAAAAGATACTGTACAGTGTAAATATACAGTAGAAATAATTGTCAATAATGAAGTAGAATTAGAACTCATGTGAATTAGTAGTAAGGCTAGCTGTTGTGTGAAGTGAGTGCCTGAAAATAAGTGTACATACTGTATGTACCCTGTATACAGTCCTTATACAATATAAAACAAGCGCTGCAGAGGATGACTTCACAGCTTCGTAATCTTCAGCTTCATTAAAATTAAGTCAATTTACCAATTTTATTATAGTATTACAACATATTAATTGTTTTTTTTTCAACAAAAGCTACATATGCAGCCTCTGCAAATGTATATTTTATCATTAGCAGAGAAAAGGTGAGCTCAAAATATTTCGTCTTGGCTAACTCTCAGTGACAAGGTTCGATCACCATTGTATGGCCTGGCTGCCACAGCCTGTGTTGTAACATTAAAAATACATTACCTGCAATTGCAATGAAATGCAATTACACAATGAACTTTATTTAATTTTAGTTATACAGTATAAAATATATCCTACCTGAATGTTACTTGAAAAATTAACCCGACTTAACTTCGGAAATAACAGAGCTCCGGAAATAACGACCAGGGTACAGCCCCATATAGGCCGTTAAATTGAGTGGATACTCAATTTAACATTTTTTCATTTTTTCCGTAGCGCATGAGCTGGAACTTTCTTCCTTAAACACAATATTATTTTCTGTAGCCCGTAGAAAGACCTGATTTATGTCTGATTGGAGGTTTGCCATGTCCTCTATGTTGTCTACTCTCATAAAAATCCTAGTGTTATCTGCAAAGGATGATACAGTACTATAGGTTGTGTCCTTGTGTCATCCGATATGAGGATGAGAAAAAGTGCTGGAGCAAGCACAGTACCATGGGGGACTGCGCTCTTCACGGTTGATGAACCAGATTTGATTTTGTTGACTATTACACGTTGGGTTCTATTAGTCAGGAAATGGTAGATCCATCTGCCTATTTTTCCGGTAATTCCTTTTGAACGCATTTTATGTGCAATAGCACCATGGCCACATTTGTCGAAGGCTTTTGCAAAATCTGTGTAAATTACATCTGCGTTTTGTTTGTCTTCCATGGCATCTAGTGCCATGTCATAGTGGTCCAGCAACTGTGATAGGCAAGAGACTCTGTTCCGAAACCATGTTGTCCGGGGTTATGGAGATGCTGTGATTCCATGTATTTTGTGATCTTACTTCTTAGCACTCTCTCAAAGATTTTTATGATGTGTGATGTTAGTGCAATCTGTCTGTCTGTGGGACCAAGCGAGAGCCAACATTTGCCTCGCCTTGGCCCCAAGGGCGAGGCAAATGCTGAGCAGCAAGAACCTCCACGGGAATGGTTCCAGAACGCCCCAGGAAGATAACCCTGTCATGTAGCGGCAGTACTCACAGGGCGCTTAGGGAAGGAAGCCCTAAGCGCATGCAGCCCCGGTACTGATGAGGAACACCTGGCCACCGCACACCACAAAAACACAGCAATGAGTGCTACGAAGGCAAACACCACCTAAGAAACTGAGGCCAGAGAAGCATCTGTCCTGATTGACATTAGCTTACAAACTGAAGTGCTAGGCAGCCGGCACAGTGAGTTCCGGGGCCACTCCTCCTCTTGGGGAGGGGAGGGCTGCGCGGACGAGCAGCGCAGCAGTAGTGTGACGTTTGCTTGTTTGCTTCTTTTCCTGGGATTAGAGGGAGTTCTACCTCTCTTTTCGGTTTTTGTTGTTAGTTTCTTACCATGTGGGGTTTGTTTTGTTATGCCTACTTTTCTGGGTGCCTAACCCCGGTCGATGGCAGATGCAGAAAACCCCCAACCACAGAGTGGTTTTCCTGGGCCATTATTCCCTGAAACCTCTCTGAAGGGTCCAGGTTTTGGCTCATGGTCCCTGGTAGGTCGAACTCCATAGCTAATGTCTCGGTCTAATATAAAACACATAAGACTGATAGCTCCAGGGAGCCATAGGGGCTCCCCACAGAAAATTTGGTTTGGCCACTTAAATTTTACTATTTATTGCCCAACATGAGAATGACAAAACTTGGAGCTTGACACTTGGTTTGTTTATATGATGCAAGCTCATAGTCAGAATCAGTGCATTATATGATCTTTCAGACACTTAGCAATAACTGTTGTGCAAGACAATACAAAAACTGTAAAACCATGGATAAACTGGAGAAGTGTAAATTCAGAAAAGACTTGGCAAAACACTGGACTGGAAATAGAGTTGTTGATTTATGAAATAAATTATTGGGTAACAATACAGGTAGATGTGGGACTGTTGGATTGTTTCAAGCAATAGTTAGAAATATATATATAGATGAAAGAGTTTAGGTGGGTATAATAAGAGCAGCCTCATATTAGCCAACAAGACTTCTGCAGTTTCATTCTTTCTTATGTACCACACAAATCCAATAAAAAAATTTTTTAATTCAGTTATTTCCAAGTTGTAATGATACCACCAAGAAGTAAAACAATGACAAAAACAACTTTCCACCCACCTGTAAAACTCTGATTGCTTGGTCAAGAACAGATTTTGTATCAGTGAGGTAGTCCACACACGGTAACTGTAGGCGGGACATGTGAGCCTGCAGCAAGAGATGGGCTTTGGTGTGTGAGGAGTCATATGTGTAGGCATTCACCTCAATGGGGCACGACTTGGCCAACTCTCCATTCAGGTTGTCTTCATTATGACGAACTGGCAACTGATCATATTCGTGTGCCTAAAATAGATGGGAAAATCAACTTTAGAGTACATGAAGCACAATGCTCACCAAGATACAGCAAGCAGTTTCTTAAAGTCAAGAGTTCTATTGCATTACTTTATATTTTTCAATTAAACAAATGCAAAAACAAATTACAGTAGCAACAAAAATTTGGAGGGGAGAGTATCACCTGTGTTAGAAGGTCGAGGAGGTCTTCCATAGTAACGGAAGGGCTTAGTTTTTCCTGGAACATCTGAATGGTCTGGTGTGATAAGTAATAGAATGAGGCTATGCGTCCCAAAGGTGTCGTTTGTATAGTACGCTTATCCTGAAATACGTTACTGAAATCAGTATAGGACTTCCAAATGCCTAACTTCTTTTTAATGATTTTTCAGTTCTGTCACTATTTTGAATTTATCAAATTGTAGTCTGATCGAATACATTGTTAAGTGAGAATATAGACACTAATTATTACTACAGTAACTCAAATACAGTACATATCAATACTTTATACAGTATATACAAACCATTCATCACATACAAATTCTTTGCAATTCAGTTTTACTACACAGTTTATTCCATCATTAATTTAGTCATAATCAGCAGATATTTCAAAGAACTTATGAGTGGCCCTTGTCACTAAAGTGACAATTGCAGAACAGCAAGCAGTTCTGGCTAGACTTGATGATCGGAAAGACTCTTTCTGGGGGTTCATCACTGTCACTAAAGTGACGATGCTTTATATACCAACGTGATGGATCAATAATCTGGCACAAAAGTGAGCTGTCAGTTTACGGTCACACATGGATGTGAACACTGCACAAGAAGTAATAGTGAACAGGGAAGAGTAGAAGCTGTTAGAGAGGGAATGAATACATGACACTTGTCTTTGACAACTTAAAAGAGTACCCAAAACCTCATTCCTGGAGTAATTACAATACTGTTGTGGATGACGTGCTGGAGTGTATGGGTGTTGGTTCTCTTTGACACTACTGAGTATGGATCACAGTGTAAAAGGGCATGAGCCAATGAATTTTACCCTTTGAAGGTACAAGGGCCTGTGCCAATACCTTCACCATCTTTAACCCATTTCCAAATTTCACTCTTCCACCTTCGGGGAAGTGCCCCCTCACCCTATGCAAGTTGGAAAGAAGAGTAATGATGATTACAATAAATGTTTCTAAACAAGTTCTAGTGTCTCTGTCTGAGGCTTCAGCTATCATACTCACATTATTTTAATATTTACAAAAGTATAATGTATCATTTCTGGGGCGACCATGAGCAGTAACCAGCATCTTGCCCCCTTCATATACATGAGAGTGGCAGCGGCACCATTTCATAAGCTCTAGCGCAGTCTTTCACTTCTGGCCTGCTCATGTGCTGCTTGACCCTGCTTGGTGTTGAGACTGTGCTCTCACCTTTCTCTCTCTTTCTTCCTCTTAATTTATATACAGTCTCCTTTGGTCCAGGATTCTTATTTTAATTTTTTTATTGTCGGTCTTGGCTTCCAGTTGTAGGGTCGGGGAGCTTCAAGCTCTTCTCTGGAGGTTGGGTTTTAGTTCTTTTGGTCTTTGGTGGGCATTTTGTTTATTTGCAGTCAAATCCTTTTCTGATGAAGAATGAGTCAGGTGGCTTCCAGAGGGGTCCTTTGATACTTGGTAGGTTAAGCCGGGGGTTCGTCACGTGCTGTCACTGGAAGCAGCTCTCCAATGCTATCTTTGTGCCACTGTTTCTGTCTCAGTGGATGCTTTGTGAGTTGATCCTGTTTCTATGGTCCCCCTGTTTCAAGGCTCATGTTTCTCAGGTTATCCGCAGTGTCATCAAGTCTAGCCAGTTTGCGGTCTACCCTTGTGCCCTTGGTGTTCATAAATACCCTCCTTCCTGCAGCTCTTTTTGGCAAAATGTACTGGGTGGATATTCGGTGTGGGGGTTCTGGTATCCCATTACTTGGTTAATGTTCCCTGGCCTCATCACCCTTGTATTTAGATTGGCTGCCTCTTTTTGTGTTGACTGCTTGCGGTTCTGCCATCTCCCTCATGAGTTCGTGTTTTCTTCTCTGTGGATAGTTAACTTCAAGAACTCACAAGGGTCTCCTCCCAGAAAACCAGTGTTGAATGTAATGAAACGCCAATTTCTGGGCAAACCCTGGCAACTCCCTGATTGCACCCTCCTCCTCCCTTCCAGGGCGTCAATTTGGGGTTGTTCTGTGTGCATCTGCTTTGGAACCGAGGGCATGAGAGCGGAGGTGGACAGCAACTCTGCTCCCCTCCCACCTCAAATGAGTGGGAGGGCTGGGGCGAACAAGCGCAAGTTGTTTCAAGAACTTTTCGATCATTTGTTTACATGGTTGGGGGAAGTTTGTTCAGCGGGTTTGAGGCTTCAGTCACTTTGAAGCCAGCAGTGGTCTCCACTGGTTTGCTGGCCTTCTGGGTGCCTTTCCTGGTGAGGTGGCGGAGTGTCACCTGCTTCTTGCTCTGCTGAGAGAGAAGCCAAGTTCTGGCTCTGGTCTCAGGTAAGCCCAACTCATCTCCACAGCCAATGAGATCTAGTAATAAGGGTCAATCTTGAAGAGATAACCTCAGGGAGCCACCGGGGCTTGCCCAGTGTTATGGTATCGCCACTTTCATTGGGGGTATGGAATGGTGATTTCGGCACCATCTATGGGTCGGCACCTCAGTTTCCCTGATATTGGACGCTACGTAGACAACGCCATCTATTGGCGGTGGCATGACAGCGACAAATGACTCTGGGTTCCTGCCCTAGTTTGAAGGAGAGGTGGATGTGGATGACCTCTGGTGGGTGGCGTAGCACGATTAGCGCCATCTGTTGAGCTACAGAGCATAATGTCAACTCCCAGGTGAATGAGTGATACCTCATAGTTTCCCTAGTGTACCGTCCATCTAATTGATGATGTTTTATGTCCACAGAAGTGACATGTGGAGGTGATTGTACTGAGCATGGGAGTTTACCTTGGGCAGTCCATGTACTCTCAGCTTGGTCCTGGAAGAAGACTAAGTAAGCCGCCGCCGATCTGAGCAGTGTGTTAGCTGCTAATATACACAGTGTTGGTATAGGTCGGCGAACCCGGGATTGGCTTGGGAGAGTAGCGGACGACAGTGAGGTGCCTATCGTGAAGTGCTGCTAGCAAGCTGCTAGAGGCTTCTGATGAGGGAATAGCTACCACTGTGTGAGTTCGTTTGAGACTCCTGTCAGTGTGTTGCTGAAGTCCTCTGCCAGTGAGTAGCTGCAGAGCAAAGGTGGGTGTAGGCACCTTGTGAGGCTGTGTCGGTGGACTGGCCCAAGTAAAAGGTCAACTCGCCAGTGTTTGTCAGTACACGTGGACAAGGTACTGGACGGAGGAAACACTGGAGTTGGTGAACACTGCAGACGCGGTAGTGTCCTACGTGAAAGTGACACTCTTGTACATTAGTGCAGTTGTAATCTATTTAACACTATCGGTCACTTTGGACCGGACTCTCGTCCATTATTTTTCTCCCGAGTCCTAACTCTGGACCGGACTTGCGTCCACTACAAAAATATTTGTATAAAATTCATTTTTTTATCCAATCGACTTCGGGATATTATCAAAATAAGCGCCTTTAGAATGCGCACAATTTGATACCAAAATGAAAGATGTAACATGAAACTTGATGTTCGAATACTTGTATGATTATAAATAGGTTTTTGGTCAAAATTTTAAAATATTTGTTACAATTCTATTTATTGTGCTATTATGTTGGGACTAGTTTTAAAATGTGCGCCTTTACGTCACGAACAATTTGATACCAAAATGAAAGATGTAACACAAAAATTTATGTCAGAACACTGGAAAGATATAAATAATTTTGTGATGATGAGCGTCCAGAATTAAAATATTTGTTAAAATTCCAGTTATTGCTCTATTATTATGGGACTAGTTTTAAAATACGCGCCTTTTTTATTGCGAACAATTTGATACCAAAATGAAAGACGTAACACGAAAATTGATGTAATCAAACTGAACGAGTATACACATTAGGTTGCAGTATACAAATTGGTGCTCGTTCACGGGTAACTTTAGGCTTATCTGCGGGGAGGCACTCCAGGCTTTTGTACATTATATTCATACACATCTGTAGGGAATTTAATTGCGAACACAATGATACCAAAACGAGCGACGTAGCACGAGAATTAAGGTGAGAAAAATAGAACGAGTATGCACATTTTACTGATTTTGTGCGTTCACGGGTAACTTTTGCTGACTTTAGGCTTTGCTGTTGGGAGTCACGCCAGGCTTTTGGACATTATATTTATACACACCTGTAGGGAATTTAATTGCGAACACAATGATACCAAAACGAGCGACGTAGCACCAGAATTAAGGAGAGAAAACTGAAATGAGTATACGCATTTAGGCGTCGCCGCACGCTCGCCCGCACCATTGGGGCCATGACGTCAAAGTCTGCGGCGCGCTCGTGGGGTGCGCGATAGTGTTAATCTAATTTATATATATTTTTAATGGTGAAGGTAAATATATTGGTGATGGGAATTGTGTGTTGTTTATCCCCCTTATTCTTTATTGCACCATATCACCAGTTCTTGAAAGCATACTACCGACTTGGGGTCGGATACACTAAAAGAGGTTCATCCATCCAGAACCCGGTTACTGGTCCTAAGTGACTGTAACACCCAGAAATCAGTATTTCATTATATTCAACGTTGTTTTTTTGCAAGCCACACATGCATAGAATTTTGTTAAGTCATTTTATACAAACACATAACATATTGCATCTTTATCAATACTGTACCATTTGGGTCTGACCCTGTAAAGTCTTGTTTCTTAATTAAGTTACAAATTACTCATACAGTAATAATTTTGCTAAGTGCTATCAGCATGCAGTACCTAAATTTGTTTATCTTCAAACCAGATTCTATCAATACCATTTTTTCAATAAGCAGTAATCTCATTCTCTGTCATTTTATATAATAGCTTACATTTAAATAAGGTAAAACACATAACAAGCATGAGATTAATGTATTTTAGCAAGAAGTTTAATGTAAATATTAGTACAGTAAGTATTTTTGGGAAAGTAATTAACTTATTGTACAATGAAACCATTCAAAATGTGTACAATATATTTCATAATTAAATAGTACAAAGGACTAATACTCACAGAATCAATTTCAATACAGTAAGCACTTTGAAGGGAAGCCAACGCTCGGTCAATAATACGGGACAAGTATGGGTTGACGGCACTTTCTGGCTTTTCTTCCTCATCGAGTTCAAGTTCATAGTATGAAGGATTCTGTAAACATATAATTAGATCAGCAGATACATTTTAAAAGGAAGCATTCACAGATAAATTTTGTCAAGTTCTCCTTAGTGCTGAAGTAACCACATCACTCTCAAGGTGGTTATAACACCATATACTCCAGGCATGGAAGAGTACAGCACCACTAGGCCTACAGGGGTGCTCAATCACTCTCCACTTCCAATATTGGCCTTTAACACTAAATTATATCAATCAATCAAGCACTATCTTTTCCTGTATGACAAAAACTTTCCTAGCTGTGCTTGTGGGGGAGGGGGTTAACCTTTTGGGTCCTGCCTCTCAACTAACAATCAACTAGTAATTACCTAATTGTAGTTAAAGGATGAGAGCTACGCTCGTGGTGTCCCGTCTTCCCAGCACTCTTTGTCATATAACGCTTTGAAATTACTGACGGTTTTGGCCTCCACCACCTTCTCGCCTAACTTGTTCCAACCGTCTACCACTCTTTCTGGGTGGAGCCCCATTGGCTCCCCAAAGCTATCCCAGGCTAATATGCTAATGTCAGATTTTGGCATCAGTCATGTGTATGGAGTTCTTAGGCCTATCGGGGACCACGGCCAGAACCGGGCCCCCTCAGAGAGGCAAGGGGAGCAATGGCCTATAGAAGCATTGGAAGCATTCTATGTCAGCCATCGACAGGATCAGGCACCCAGAAAGGTAAGCGCCACAAAACAGACCCTTATTCTGGTTAAAATTGCAACCAAAAGCCGAACAAGTGGATAGAACTCCCCAAACTAAAACGAGCAAACTAGTATGACGTCACCCGTTGTCATGCCGCTGACAACAGCGTGAAGCAAACCTTGCTCCAGTTTCATGAGGTAGCAATATGGTCCTTGTCCTCTATTTCCTTCGATACCTCTAGCAGACGACACTTCATCTGACACAGAACCTGAAGCGGCTCCTAGTACCAGTCGTCGTCGTCCTCTTAGGAAAAAGTCATGTATTTTGGATTCAGAACATCGTCTCAATGACAAATTGACCCATGCCATCGTCAAACTCACAAAATGTCGAAGGTGTCATGTTTGCCTCAAGTCTGGAATAAGAATGGACGCTAAGTAGCAGTGCAAGACATGTGGAGTTATACTGTGTCCGACACCCTGCTACACAAAATACCACTGTAAGAGGGTATTTTGGGTGGAAAAAAAAAAAAACGCCTATGCACACATTCACTCCACCTACAAAACATCTGTTGAGCAAATTCAAGAACATTTTCCTGAAGCAGGTGCAGTGGATCACAAAATGCTCAACTTACTGTTCTTCCATCATCATTCCGTAGGTAAGTACAAACACTTTGTATAAGTTTTTATAAATAAACAAGCAAACATCACACTTTACTGCCGCGCCGATCGTCCGCGCAGCCCTCCCCACCCCGGGAGGGGGAGGGGGGAGCCCCAGACCTACCGCGCCGGCTGCCAAGCTCCAGTTCGGAAGCTAAGCTTCAACCAACGCGAAAAAACCGCCGACCGGTGGGAGGGAGGGTTTCCAGGGAGCCTCCGGGGCTCACCCAGAAAATGGCATTTCATTACATTCAACGCTGGTTTTCTGTGGGGAGCCCCTACGGCTCCCTGGAGCTTCATACCCAAAGAGAAGGAAAAGAAAGGGCTAACCCGGGAGGCGGCCGCCACAAACTCTGCAACGCAAAGCCAAGACAACCGGTCGCAAACCTGCGACCCAAGGCAACAAGAACGCCCAAGAACAGACGCACATATAGATGGGCGGCCAAAAACCTGTGCGACCCACAAATCCCTGCGCCCGAAATGAGCCCGAGACGTCACCAACACAGCAGCAAAAGCTGCAAACGTCTGAGCAGCACGGGCGCAAAGACAGACCGCAGGAAGAAGGAAAACACTGCGGACGACCTGGGAGACCCCGAGCCCTGAAAACAGGGAACGAAGGAACCGGATCAACCACAGCGCATCCCCAGGCACGGTACGCCGGCAACAGCAAAAAGCACAACCGGACAACACAGGACGCACCCCCCGGCCAAACCAAACAAGTACCAATACCCCAAGAACCCCTCCGGAAAGCAGCCGTCTCGACCGTCGCCAGGACAGAGAAAGGCTGCACACCAATAAAGCTACCACCAGTACCAAAGATGAGGAAACTGAAACCGAAGGGGCTACCACAAACTGAGGGGAAGATAAGAAGGCACCCTGAACAAGGACCAGGATGGCTCAGGCAACTCATGAGCAGGCCGGAGGGGAAACAAAACGCGAGGAAACGTAATAAACGTTATACTGTCTCCAAGACGAAGCTCGCAGGTGGGACACCGTCAACAATGCCACCTGAGCACCATAGAGATGGTGATACCTGCATCAAAATACCAGACGCGAAGAGCCAAAGAGAAGGCCGAACCAGTCACGGACAGGACCGATTCGGCCTGCTGAAAGTGGCGAAGCCTCAGGAAAAACGCCCCGGGTACGGACACCTATCAAGCAGCGTCTGAAAAGAAGGCCGGGCCGGCCACCATGGAAACATAAGGACTGTTCTCGTGGGAATGGGCTGCAACCGAGCCAGAACCCGAAGCAACAGCTGGACCGGGAGAAGAGGTGCAGGTACCCCCCACCTCGACCAGGCCTGCCGAAAGCCTCCACCGTGAAGTCCTCGCAGGTGGGAAGGGCGCCACAAAACGGGCGACGCCTAGACCACGCCGACCCGAAGACGTCCATGGCCAGGAGTCCATAAGCCCAACAGAGCCAACAAAACGAATCGGCGACGACTGGCCAACCCACGAAGAGGAATGAACCGAGACAGCTGTCCACCAGGACGCAGGACACACCCCGGACACGAACCACACGGTTAACCAAACCCCCTGTGGTTCCGGCAAGAACCACCAGAGAACAGTCCAAACAGAGCTGAATGGTAGAGTACCTAGTGACCCAAACCCTCCGAAGCGCAAACCAGACAGCCATGAACACCTGAACCGGGCTGTGAGCCCGACGGACAGACAGACTCCATCAACCACGGCCGACCTGGTGAGCACTGGTCACAAAGCCCCAGCCGAGAGACGACCCGTCCGTGAACACATCGAGCGAAGGCTCGGGGAGGTGCCAAGGCATGGAACCCCGAAAACCCCAAAGAGGAAGCTGGTGATGCAGCACCAACACCAGATCCCCAGAGGAACCCAAGGAATGCAAGAGGCGGAAGGGGAGTCTCCGTAGGAACCAACCGACGCCGTAGCCAAACCCGACTCCGCGGGCAGACAAGCACGCCGAAGTGCAAACTCCCGCACAACCGCCCAAGCAACCGCTGAGCAACCCGGGACCCCCTCCTGAACAGCCAAAGGCGGGACCACAGCCGCAGTAACACTTCTCGAGGGAAGACAATGAGGGGCCCAAGAGCCTGAAACAAGGCCCAGGTCCGAACCCGGGACGGAAACAGATGGAAAAACCTCCAGATCACCAGGAAACCAAACCCAGCGATCTGGAAAGAACCATCCCCTGGCGAGCAGACAAGCGAACTGACTGGGAGCCCACTCCAGCCAGTCGTCGAGGTAGGCCAGACACCGAATCTCAGACGCAGACAGGGCACTAAGATCCGGTAAAGATGCAAAGAGTATACAAAGTGCCCTTTACAAAATAGGGAAGGCAATAAACAGCAAACCTGAAGCCCCACCACCAAAGCATTATATGACAATCATATTAAGACATATTATGACATATGACAATCATTATATGACAATATGACAATTATAATCAAAGCATTGTATGACAAAGAGTGCTGGGAAGACGGGACACCACAAGAGTAGCTCACATCCTGTAACAACACGTAGGGAATTACACATAGGTAATTACCAACCGTGCTAGCCCCAGAAAAACTGGAGAGGAACGTGCCAAGAAGTGACCTGGAGGTCCAGGGCCACCATCCAAGCACCCGGCCCTAACAGAATCCGAACAGGAGACAACAGTCCTCCGAGGAGGGCAGAGGATCCAGGGCGCAGACTGAAGTAGTCCAGAAGAACTGCAGACGGGAAAAGCTCATGACTGCAAAGAGCAGACGGGAAGCCCAGAAGGATGGGGCGGATCGACCACGCCCCACGCACCCACGAAGAGGAAATGACGAAGCGCAGGGAAGAAGCCCACCCCGCCAGCTCTGAACCCCCTCCAAAGGGGAGAAGCCGTCCTCCGACGCCAGCAGAGGCCGGAAGACAACCCAAAGCGCCCACCAACAGCGGGACCAAGCGAGAGGCAACAGAGCAAGCTGCTCCCCCAGCGCCCAGTCAACAGAGAAGGGAACAGAACCCCATCCGAAAGAAAAAGAACACTACAGAAGTCATGAGGAGAGACTACGGGAATGAAACCACACTTCGCTGGAAGATGAAGTGAGGGGAGACCTGATCACCACATTCAAGATACCCAAGGGAATCGACAGGGCTGATAAGGACAGGCTATGTAACACAAGGGGCACACGCACTAGGGGACACAGGTGGAAACCAAGTACCAAAAAAAGCCACAGATAGAATCAATTTTTTTTTTTTTTTTTTTTTTTTTTTATAGTGTCAGAATGGGAACGGGAAAGCACTAGGAAGTAATGTGGCGACTCCTCACACAAGTAACGAGGCTGACCCCCATACAATGTCACATGTAGACATGACAGAGCCCAAGAGGCCCAGGAACCGATACACCTGAGAATGTAGGCACACCAACAGATGATGGTTTCAAAGGATTCTCACCACAAGATATAAGGAAAGGAGGTGTTCTTGGCAGGTTAGAGATAATTGAGGATATGCAAAAGAAGTATGAAGAAAAAGTGCTTAAATTGGAAGAGGACAATGGAGCTCTTTGGAGTGAGCTTTGCACTCTAAAAGGGAGTATGCTTCAACAAGGTAAGATTATTACTGCATTAACAGACAAGGTAACAAATCAGGAAGAGCAAATCAAGGAACTAGTGAAAGAAAATGAGGCATGGAAAGTGAAGTGTGGTGACTTTGAAGAAATAAACAAGAAAATAGACTCATATGGTGAACAACTCCA